TTGTTTTTTAAATATGTTTTATTTTACAAAAGTAAACAACAAATAGTTTAAATCTTATATCAAACTTAAAAGCCAAATGATGCAAGGTTTTTGTCGAAAGTATAATATTAAAAATTGCTTTTTTTTCCGAAAATTCTGATATAAAAATATAAACAATTTTTAATAATATTGAATAGCTTAGACCACAAAAATATTCCAAAACTAGTTGTGAATTCTTTTTTCTGTTTTTAAACAACTTTAACACCGTATTTATTCAAATTTGTTTCCAAAGGTCAATAGCTTAAGAAATTTCAAAGAAAAAAATTAAATTAAATAAAAAAATTTATTTCGAGCTCATTTTTGTAAATTTAAAACTATTGATGAAAATCTAGAGACGCATAAATTATTTAATTTATGTTTTTTATTATTATTACTTTTTTATTTCTAAGACTTATTTATGTTTTTGGACGTTTGTACTTTTCATTACTTTTTGCACTAAATATATTAATTTTTATTTATTTGTGGTTTCATCTGTTTATTTAAATTATTATTTTGCTACCCTACAATTGTATAAATATTTTCCATAGCAAATATTTGAAATGTTTTCAATTTTATTGTACAATACTTATAATGTTATGCTGTTAAATTTTTTAAATGCTAATTAAATTGCATTTTGCACTCAAAGCAACAGTGTATTAGATATAGATGAAATGAAAAGTGAAAGCGAAAAGCGAAAAAAATATAAATAAATTTACCATAAATGTGTATTGTAAAAAAACAACGGATATTAAATAAATAAAGAAGCAAATACTTGAACTTTGGTGAAAATACACACACAAAAACGTATAGAATTTATTTAAAGTACCGATTTGAGGATAATTATAGTAATATGTAAGGCAACAAAACAAATTACAAACGGAAGCAAACACATTTAGGAAGCTAAACTAATCAAAATGATATTGAAAATATGACAGACAAACTTAATTTAAATATAAATAAACTAAGAAATTTTAATTAAATGCAAAAAAATGCGTTTGCGACGCAAGCGAATGGAAGAGAATGAAGTGAGTAAAGAAAACAGCATTTACGAGCTAAAGAAATTGGCGGAAAGCGATTACATCCATTGTACTCGCTGTGGCAGGCAGTGGCAGTGTAAACGCGCAAATAATATTATAATTATTGAAATAAATAAATGATGGAACAAAATTATAAATGAAAGCTATGAAAACCCTAAGTAATGTTAAATGAAAAATTTATGACAATTTTAAACGTCGATTTAATAAAGAATTTATGAAAAATTAAATGTAAACTTTTTAAATTGTAGTTTTTATTTGAAAATTTGCAAACCAGAGATTTTCCGAACATAACGGTAAGTTGTAAAAAAAATTGTTCCTATGCTTAATTGTTTACACTGTGGTTAAAAAATAGTAAAACCTTTTGAATTAAATTTCGTGTGAAAACTTTGAAATATTGCTTTTCTAAGTTGGTATGGATGTCACAAATGTCACATCAAAATAATCATTAGTGTTTAGTATAGGCCCGTCTTACTAAAGTACATAAAGTTCATTCGGTGATTTTTACGATGAGTGAAATTTTCCAACAAAGAAGTTCGATTAAATGTTGTGTGCGGAATCAAATTTCAAAGAGAGTCGCGAACGAGTTGACGACGAACCACGTCCAGGACGGCCATTAACATCCACTGATGATCAACACATCAAGAAAGTAAAGGAATCATTTGGGTCTAAGAAATGTAAAAGCACAATTTATACCAAAATCAGTCAGTTTTTTCGAAAAACAGCATCGTGTTAAAGTCTCTGAAACAATGCTTTTCGACTACCAGCATGTCAAGAAACGTATCTACACTGTCGATTAGTATCGTATCTATGCTTACGATCCGGAAACAGGCGATCAAAAACAATCCAAAAGATTTGTTGTTTGAAATTTATAAGTATTAAATTTCAAAAATATTCGTTTCATCCAGACGATGTTTGAAAAGGAATACATTTTTTTTTTTTTTTTTGTATGATAATTCCATCAAATATATGCAGCGTGGTGTGTGCCACGGAACCTTCTGTGCATATTACGAACAAGGAATTATGAAAGTTATAAAGCGGAAACTGTACGAAATGTAAGTTGTTCTCTCGTCATATTTTATAGCACTTCCCATAAAAGCGGAACCAAAGGCTTTTTGCAAGGTAGAATTCACTTCCTACTGGGAATCGAAAAACATCCGAATAAATGTAGAGCAGCTTCCAAACCGTCAAGAAGTATGCTCATATGCCAGTGAGAGAGAACAAGAGAGAAAAATGGCATGTTTACAAACACACATATGAATTATTGACAAAGTCACCTTTTAGATGCATTATTTATACATCTTCTTCTTCTTTACTGGCGTAGACACCGCTTGCGCGATTATAACCATTACACACAACATACACTTCTATTTTCACTCTTTTCTTAGCTTTCCCCTCTGTTCGTAATTTGCACACTTGCCAATTAATATTTCCTTTACTCTCATACAATTTGCGTAAACATTCTACTTCCATATAACACAAAAGCATAATACA